CCCGCCACAATCAGCGACCTCACTTTGAACGGTATAAACGCGAATCCTTACGAGAAATGGAGCAACGGAGGCAGCGACGCCTTTCCGGTGGTGTCCACGAACGACCACTTTCCAATGGCGACGTCCGTCGTTGTGGCAGCGAACGCCGCGTCCTCCGACCCCGTTTTAGACCTGACGTCGAAACTGATGTCCGCCGCCGTGATATTCCCACCGAAGTCGCAGATCAAGCGACAGAAGATGATCTATCATTGCAAGTTTGGCGAGTTCGGGGTAATGGAGGGACAGTTCACCGAGCCGTCCGGGGTCGCGGTGAACGCGCAGAACGACATTATCGTGGCCGACACGAACAATCATCGAATCCAAATATTCGACAAAGAAGGCAGATTTAAATTCCAATTCGGCGAGTGTGGAAAACGCGACGGCCAGTTGCTGTACCCGAACCGAGTGGCCGTGGTGAAAACGTCCGGCGACATAATCGTTACCGAACGCTCGCCGACCCATCAGATACAAATATACAACCAGTACGGTCAGTTCGTGCGTAAATTTGGGGCGAACATCTTGCAGCATCCGCGCGGTGTAACGGTCGACTCGAAGGGACGCATAGTCGTCGTGGAATGCAAAGTGATGCGCGTGATAATTTTCGACCAGACCGGCAACGTGCTTCAGAAGTTCGGCTGCTCGAAGCACCTGGAGTTTCCAAACGGAGTTGTGGTAAACGACAAACAGGAGATATTCATCAGCGACAATCGCGCGCATTGCGTGAAGGTGTTCAATTACGAGGGCGCCTATCTGCGACAGATCGGTGGAGAAGGGATCACCAACTACCCGATCGGGGTAGGGATCAACGCCGTCGGCGAGATACTGATAGCAGACAATCATAATAACTTCAATCTGACCATCTTCACTCAAGACGGTCAACTGGTTTCCGCTCTGGAGAGCAAGGTCAAGCATGCCCAATGTTTCGATGTGGCTTTAATGGACGACGGATCGGTCGTGCTAGCCAGCAAGGATTATCGACTCTACATTTATCGTTACGTACAAGTACCGCCGATCGGCATGTAGACCAGCGACAAATCACGACGCCGACAACGATCGTCTGTCGTCGTTTTCATTGTTGTCGTTGTCGTAGTCGTAGTCGTTGTCGTTTTTATCGCCATCGTTTCGACGGCCACACAGCCACGATCTCATGGATCTTTTTTTACTTACACTTGCCTATCTTCTTCTTCACCCACCTACCATCACCGCTCGCGCTCACTTTACCTATCCATCTTCGCCCGCTCGAACCACCACCACCTCACTTCCGTTTACGAAACTCCGATTACGAGACGAAACAACAAGATGCAAGCGTACGCGAGCGAACACGCGTTGACCCGACAGCTGTCGAAATTTCAGACGATGACAGGCCTTATTTACACGGACATGGGCGCGTACGCGCGTGCGACCAAGCTGCGCGCCGACTAGACGATAACCGGCGAACGAGTTACGTTCTCTGTCGCTTTCACGGACAGGCGTGACGTCTTTCACGCGGGTACGCGCTTCGGACGATTAACCGCGACGATTAACCGCGACGATTAAACGCGACGATTCTTCGAACGAGGATTCGAGGATTTGACGAGAGAAAAAAGACGGGAAAGAAGCCGATGGTGAATTTATGGAAACTCGTAGGGCACTCGACAGCGAATGGGCGCTTCGTGACACGCACGCGTGCAAACCTCTTGAAAACGCGTACGCGCAGCACGTATCAGATGCTCGTACGAAATGGAGAAACGCAGGCGAGTTTGGAACGCCGATTTTGTTGCGTGCGGAACGTAGCCGCGCGCGCCTGAAAAATGAAAAGTCACACGAGACGTGTAGGCGCATACACGCAGAAAAATTACTTGTTAATGTTGTTATAACTGAAAATACTGTTGTTGTTGTTTAGTTGTAGAGCTCGCCGCCGCTAGTCACTCCATCCTCAACCTCACCAACCACCCTTACCCTCCAGCCTCTCCCATTTTACTCCCTATCTGTCAGTTCTTGTCGGTTACGTCTCCCTTTTTCCATGAAAATACAGGGTGTACCAGTTTCTGTGACATCGAAACTTTGTCGGTACGTTCCATGGATCTAAATAGGAAAACGATGTTACGCAAACATGGGTTGTTTAAAACTTTGCCGAAACGTTACCACGAGAATACCAGATACTCGCGGTTACTGGTTGCAACGCGCGAACGAATCATCCACATCTCGCTCTGTTTACGACAATTAAGTTTACCGAGTTTCTGTCCGAGATATGGTATAATCGCGCTTAAGTTTCTCCACAATGCAAAATCCAGAGTATTCGAAGGTATGGCAATCATCGATCTGCCGATTTTGTGTTTACCTTTATTTTCGTTTTCCTTCGTTTCGCTAGTAAAAGAAAGAAAAGAAAAAAAGTTTTTTCTCGTAACTTTTCAACAAGATTGTTAAACCATCCATGGTTGTACCGCGTCTATTCCTTATTTAGACACTCAAACGTATTGAATGTTCGAAAGTTTGGCCGCTAAAATCCGGAACACCGGATCCGTTCATACCCTTGTTCACACTTCCCGCTCCATTCTCCTTTCCGTGAATTTCCCGAAGAAAAACCGCGAGGTGCGTGTTTCCGAAAACCTCGGATGCGTTATGTTTCTGCATGTATCTTAGTCGAATCGTGCTAACGATTGATCCGGCGGAACTCGGGACTGAAACTCGGCTTAATCGCACTCCACGAACACCGCCGTTCAGTCTCGTTCGTTTTCTTCCAACCCAGAGCGATAGGATTTTTCCATCGACTTGGCCGATTTACGGACGAATCGACGCCTGCGAGAGCTTGTTTCGTCGCTCTCTCTCTCTCTCTTTTTTCTCCTCTCACATGCATACGTAATTGGAAAATAACGCGGAGTACTCGATCGATTCCTAGACCTTTGCACTGCCTCGGATTACTCGTTGTTCCAAGGACGACGATAATCGACAGTGTCGATCGACAACGCTGTCAAGTCCGCTGTCCGTTCTTGAAGCTTTCGCAAGCCTGTGAACTTCGAAGATTTTTCCTATTTAACGACGGACAATTCTGCATCGACTTCTCCAAATCCTCTTTATCCTTACGTGTCGTTCTCTATTCTCCCTCTTTTAAGGTGGTTATGCATATGTTCTTTTTATATATATATATATATTATATTGTATACATATTTATATGTATGTGTTTCTCTTTTTTTTTTTTCATAGCAATCAACGACAACTCCGACGAACATTCGTCTTAAGATACGGTATTTTAAGTACGGCAGTGACGACAGTCGAAGTTTTGTTCGCTTAATCGACTCTTCTTACCTTCGTTTCTCGATCGTTTCCCTCGAGAACGTGTCCCCTTTTGTTTTCTTTTAACGCGCCTTTTCCTTCGCGTATTACCTTATTTCGTTTCTCTTATTAACCCTGCTCGTTGCAAATAAGACTGTCTCGAAGAAACGTTCAACGTAAAATTCGTCGACGACGGACGATTCTTTCGTATTCTGCTCGGACTCGAGACTACTATCTTGATGGAAAGTCGAGAAGAGCCGCGATAGGTGGAAATGTGGAAGCGGCGAGAAGCAGAAAAGAGAAGCGCGGCAGGGTTAAACACACGCGATTAAGCAACGCGTACGATTTATGTTCGATTTTGACGATGGTGAGGTCGAGAGGCCGCCTGCCTGAAGGACGACGAGAGGTTGCGAAGAGAGAGTGCGCGCGCGCGCGCGCGCGCTAAAAAGACTGACAACTTGGTTCTTCTCGTTTCTCGGTTCAACCTTCGTGCAGCCAAATGATTCGCGTTTCCATGAAATCGACGAAAGCTGGACAGACGCGCCATCTTCTCGTTTAACTTGATCTCCCTCTTCGGGACAGTCTTCTAAGGATGTTCGATCGACGTCCTCGACGTCCTCAAGCACGTCCTTGAATATTACGATCGTTCGATGAAAAACGGTAAGAAATCTGTAGAAAACAGCTGTTTCTCAGTCGCTCTCCGACGTTTTTATTTGATTTTGCTGAATAGAACCGTAGTAGTGTTAAGCTGTAGTAGCGAGTAGCCGTAGTGAATCGTAGTGAAACGACGTAACGAATCATTTGCTCGGCCCTGTTCCTCTCTGTATCGTTTCATTCACGCCGTTTCCTTTTCCACGGCGTGTTTCGTGATTCAGAAACGATCCCTTCCTATCCTAAATGCACCTGTACCATCATCATTGCGATCCATCACACCGTTACGATTTACCATCACCGTTGTGATCACCGCCACCACTATCACCGATACTATTCACCATTTCCTCTTTCGAGTACGTTGCTTTCTTTTTCTTTAGTATAATCGATAAAAACGTGTGTTACTCTGGTAACCTTTTTTTAATTTGAATGTATAGTATTAATATATTTTGTTGGATGAATCGACGATGTTGGAAACCTCGCGCGAGGTTTTGCCACGCGACTTCATGCATGTTTATTATTACAAATATTATTATTTTTATTATATTATTATTATTATTATTATTATTATTATTATTATTATTATTATTATTGTATGTATGTATGTATGTTTGTATGTATGTACGTACGTATTATTATTATTATTATTATTATTATTATTATTATTATTATTATTATTATTATTATTATTATTGTATCATTTCTATGTTTATCTATTCATTATTTAAGCACCGCACTGTCAGATGCCGTGAGAGCGTTATAATTCTTGAAGCATATCTTTGACAATGGAATATATACCTAAGCATTTTCTGATAACGTGTCATTGGATATGTAACGAGGTTAGCTGGCGTCCCTCGGTGTCGAAAAGTACAAAACTATGAATTACGAGGATCTTCCGAGACATCGTCAATTTTCTTTATTCGATAAGAGCTATTCGCGGCAGTCGTACGATCAGGTCGCCCGGAAGTTGTGGAAAGTCTGCAAGTCGGTCTGCAATTTTCGGCATATCGATCCAGGCGATACGACGTTCGATGAAAAATTTGTTAAATCGATAGTCTTGTTATGTTTCATTCAAACGGACGTATCTGGCGCGATAAAATGACTTTTGGCGTCTACCGGGTGTTAATTTTACACGCGTCCCACGTACAAACTGTCACGGCCCTGTCGTTTCGAAAGTTATCCGATCTTTGTCAAAATCTACCCGTTCCTTTTTTTTTTATTTTTCGCTTTGCAATATGACACGTACGAAATAAGTCGATGTTCGCGACTCGAACTAAACTTGAAATTGAAATTAAAAGTTGGAAACATTTTCGCGTTAACTGGCAGACGGACGACTGGATTTAAGCGACAGTCGCAGATACGCCCTTTTGATACGACACGGCGGTGCTAGTTTCGTATAATTTCGGATTTCTCGTCCAGCTAAATCGACGTCACCTAATTGCTCGCTGGTGAAATTTTCGAAACGTTCGAGGGTCTCGAATGAAATTCGCAACATTGACAAATTAGATGGAAATCGTTAGATGGTACTTAGAATTCGTCGATAAACAAACAATACGCGAGTTCGTTCGTATTCTAGTTGATTAAGTTTGATCAGCGAATATCTTTTTCCTTGAATAGGAAATCGTTATCGTTAAAAATCATCGTATTTCCCTTAGTCTATCTATTTCGTAATTAATTCGTAACAGTACATATTAGCAAGTTGTTAATGAAATATTTTGCGCTGTGAAACAGGTTGTGCCGTCTTAAAACTTGTTAAACTTCTCTCGTGCGTGTTTTCATAGCGATCTACGGTGGAATCGTATTAAGGCAACGATCAGTGAGAGGAAGGAGGAAAGTTGTGGAAAGTTGATAGAAGATCCTTGATAATTCGTCGTCGTTATATCGTTCGCTATTCGAATCGAGGTCCTTACAGATTCACTCTTAACATCTTCACGCCAGACACGCGCTCGGTCATAACCGACCAACGTTCTTCCATTGAATCGTGCAATTCGGTTGACTCTGCCGCGATCCTCGCGCAGTTTGTCTGCTTCGATCTCGCTCTCGCCTCGGCGGACGAAAAGAAATTTCTTTAACGTTCTGGAAATTAAAACATACCGATAGGAGACCCGCGTCGTATCTTGTCCGAGTGTTTGAATGTACTTTTCGTTAAAACGATAGAATCGGATCGCGAATGAACGAATGAAAGAGAACGCAGCAGGATGAATTTGTCTCTCCTGTTGTTTCGAAATTACGAGACCGTGGAACCGACGGCGCTTTCTTTCTTAGTCTTTGTCGAGACTTTTTCGCCTCGACGAAAGGAGACGGCGTGACCGAGCTACGCGATCTGTCAGACGGAAGAACAACGAAAGTATCGATTCGATCGGCTATCGGAGCACAGTTACGATCGGACAATTAGACGGGCTATCGTTGCGTACATCTGCAGTATTCTAGCTAATTTTTCAGCGACGGTATGCTAGACACACGGATAGAAACGGAAGTAAAAAGGAAATTAGGAGGAGCATAGAGAGAATCGAGGAAAGGGATAACTGGTTGAGATACATGGAAATTTTCACGTTATTCCGTATTGAATACCTTACTGCCAAAAAATCCTAGAGATTTCCTTTTCGTACGGTTCTTTCATATTTCAATCTACTTCTCGCCTTTGTATTTCTCGTCTTTCCACCTTTCTCTTTCGGTGAAAACGACGAAGAGTCGAAATAATCATATCGGACTTTCTTCTTTGCAAGAAACAAAGTACGTAACAGTTTATTCCATTCAGATCTGCATCACAAGGTATTTGTCCATTAGTATTTAAATCGCGTATTCTTGTTTTGATTCGTAGTTATTAATATTATTACTTGTATTACTATTATTTTTTTATTTTATTATTATTATTATTATTATTATTATTATTATTGCAATTATTATTATTATTATTATCACTATTATTATTACTATCACCGATTAGTTATTGTATCATTAATATTATTATTACCGCGTACATCATAATAATAGTATGGCTGTAGAAAAAAATGTAAATCGGAACGAGACGATGCCACCTTGCCAGCTAGCCATCACTACCACTGTTTTCTCCCTTCCGTTACTCATAGCATCCTTCGAGAAATACGAACGAAAATGAAAAAAATGGTATACACTTCGATATGCGTTATTTCCAAAGTGAGGATCGAGACGTACATGTATGCGTGTGTGCCTGAGTGTTTTCTTGTATGCGCGCGCGCTCTTTGCATCCGAAAGAAGCGGTACCGAAGCACATAAAGAAAAACAAACATGCGACTCTCTCTCCTTTTTTTTTGTACTGGTTTGTTATGTTATTTTTTTTTTTTTTTTAAACGATACAACCCGATTGTTCTTAATTTAAATTGTAAATCGTATTTTTGTTTGTTTTTTTAGTTATTTTTTGTTGTAAAATGCTTTTTAATAATATTTTCAGTTCACATTACACCGACAACTGTCAGTTTTTTGTCTCACTTTATTTCTTCTTACTCTCGCTCGCTTCTCCGTACCTTCTTTCGTCCCCGAAAACACACCACTTGTGTACCCTTTTTTTTATTTACGCTTCATCGATCCAACCCCCAACTATACGTACACGCGCGATAGAATTTTAACCCTGTCCCGTTATCGATCTATCTGTATTTTCCTAACGTTATTTGCTAATCTTATCAAATAGCTCTCTAACTTTAACGGCAATATGAAGAAATTGTCGTCGGTATACGTGGTCAGCGCTTCTTTTCAACTTTTCCAACTTTCGCCATTTCCTATCCTACTTATAATACATGGAAAAAATGTACGAGATAAGACAATTCTTTGTTATAGTTCTAATTTTGTTACTCGTAGTCGCGTGTTCGGACAAAGCTAAATTTATTACACACCGACGAGATAAACCTGCTCGTTCGTTTTTCCATCGAGAACTAAACATTGACCGAATACGACGTTCGATATAACGTTTCCCACGGTTAATCGATATTTTTGATTTTACGATCGACAATGATTATCGCTGATCTGCTACAACGACCTAACTGAAAACTCGTAGTTTTTGAGTTGCCGGGTATAAGAGAAACAATTTTTCCTTACGTTTTCTATCGGTAGAGTCGCTCTATTGTATCGTCACGAGACTATAACAGTTGAGAACGTTCAAACACGTTTCTCCCAAAGTGGTGAATTTTGCGTCATTGTTGCAGAAAATGAGCGATATACAGTAAGAAACGTTATAATCGTGTTTAAGGACATTTTAGAAAGTGATTCAAGCGATTTTTTAAAATACTAATATTCTATATCTGTATCGATCGATAACTCGATGAATCCATTAACGACAGATGGTTGAAATCTTCCATTTCATTGGTATGTGACGGGTGGACAGAATTTCACCACCCCGTAACTTGTTTACGCGACCCATAAGAATATGTAAGAAGCCCTGGTATACTTGATCGTTTGTCACGTATTTTCTTAAGACGCGAACAATAAAATTCAACTATAGAAATCGCACGATCGTAGCAGGGTTGATCAAAATTTCGTGAGACATTTACGATTTCATAGCTCTCGCTTTTACCGATACAACCGTCGGTCCATGATTTGTTACATATTTTGATTATACTTTTATAAAAATATAATAAATTTTCACAGAAGGAAACGCAAGATAATTTATTTTCATTGTCGGAAATCAACTAATACGAATTGTATCATTGTGAAAGAGAAAACATCTCAAGACCTTTCTGTTCCATTTTTCCATCGAACGAAATATCGCGCGTCACCGCTGCAACATCGGTGCAACGTTGTTTCCTGCTAGAAATTCGACTCGATCGTAAAACGATCATAATATTCTATCGTACGAAAACATTTGCTTCTTTTGCCTTCTGTACGATAAATCCTTGCCTATCCTATTTCCTTGTTTCTTTCGATATCTAAGTTTAGTTGAGTCCCGTTGCGAAACACATTCTTCGAAAACTCCAGTAGAAACATTCCATTTTAGTAAGAGATTAGAGTTGATATGTGTTTTACGATTATAGCTTCTAATATCGTTTAAGGACACGTCTTCGTTACAAAATTCAATTCGCCGGCTGGATCGTGCTGTTTGCACGCTTGTTTCTCTTTTTACGAAAATTTGAACGATTAAAAAAAATCGGAGATTCTCGAGTACTGCGTATTTTTGTATAAATAAAAAGAGCGACCGAAAAAGCAGGATTCTTTTCGTCTATTCTCGGTCCTATAATTTTCCTATTGATTTTTCTGCCAATTATTATTCAGTTGCCAACTTTTCACGTTGCGAATATCAGTCCTTGTGTCTTAAAAGATCAGAACATTTTTTGATATTAAACGTTATTCGATATGATATAGTTGAAAATTCAAAAGTTCAAAATTTGTTGTTGACGATAAAGTCGATGAATTTTCTACTTGAAAATTTGTTGCCATACGCGTCTCACCGCAGGCAGACATTTAGCGGAAAATTCAGTTTAAAAATCGTGGGATTAAAATTGAATGACTGACAAAATTTGCGATTTTTTGGCTCATTGGCTCTGCTTCGTTCGTCAACTACTTCGCTTTGAATATTTTACATATTTTTGCATATTATACATCGTGCGCGCTCTTGCGCCTTCGAATTTCTCGTAAATTTACAAAAATCCGCAGTCTCATCTTTCATCATTCAGATTTTTTTTTTTTTTTTGTATTCGACAAACGAGTCGAAGGTAAACGATGGAAGAAAAGGAGGAACGAAAATAATACGATTACGACAGAAAGATCGAGCGAGAATTATTTGTAACGAGGACATTGCTTGTGGCATGTACTTAGTACCAGATGTGTGTTTTCTTATTATTTTTTTTTTTTTTGCACGCGACCAATTTCTGCGCGGAATTTGATCTTAAGTTTTCATTCGTCGTGCACGAAGAGAACGACTCGAGAGAACTGCAGGCGTAAATTCAAGAAACCAATAGATGCCAAACTTGTTTATCGTTAATATTCACGACACGACTTAAACGAACAAACTGGAGGCTAAAGCAGGTGAAAATTTTCAACTTATTCGATTGGAAAATTTACAGATACCGTTTATTCGTGTCTATAAAACTTTTAATCAGGGGAAGGTTACCTATATTGGACCGTTTAAGAAGGTACAACGAAAGCGTGTTCGTAGCTTCGAGCAGGAAAATTTGAGAACAATTTTAGCATTGTAAGCGATACATACATCCGATAAAATAGGCTGAAACGCTATATGGCTAATTGGAAAAAGATATTTTCGATATAGCGTCAACGATCCGACCTTGGAAGCCGATATCCTAAATTGGACCATGCCTGTTTTCCTTTATTTTGGATAAAATCTTTATATCTAAAAAAGAATGCTTATATCCCAAGAAAAATAAAAAATAACTCTGAAAATTGATATGCGCTTGAAGAAACGATCGATCGTTGTCAATACAAGTGGAGCCATTTCTTACAACGAATCCATTCTTCTGCCACAACTGATTTGATTCCAATGATGCAAACAACGCAAATGCGATCTTCATCCTCTTCATCCTTCGATTCACTCGAACAATCCTGTACCATAATCTGTTTCCTTTTTGAAATGTAGCAGCTACGACAGTTTCAACGGAAGCCAGCTTTTTCTGTTTCTCGAATTCCATTTTAGCCATAACTCGAATATCCTTCTTATCGTCGGATCTACGTTTTCACGTAACTTTTGGTACATTATATCCCCCAGCTGTTTCGTTTAAACCTGCGATATCATTTTTATACGCCGTTATGGCCCCTTTCATAGTTCTTCGTCCCATTCCCCATATCTTTCGTCACAGTGATTTTTATCCTTAAGAAAAGAAAAACGTGCCATAATTTACTCCGGTCTAACTCGAGGACCATTAGATGTTTCAATTTTAACGTGTACGTGAGATAAAAAAAAACCAGTACAAGTATCTGATAAACGTTGTGATAATTTTAAAGATACGAATCTCCTTAAAAAATTACGTTCCTAAGAATCCAAAATTTATCTACTAGGCAAAAGTTACAGTTTGTATGAACCAGGGACGGAATCGCATCAGCCTACGTGAAAATAAAGCATTCGTCACGCTGCAGCTATTATTCATTCCACGGTGTTTTGTTTCGATGCTATTACTAAGCAACGTGTAAACTATAATTTCATAAGACAACCTCTATGCGAATAAAGAATATGGTCCAATTTAAAAATTGTTGGATGGTTCGATTTGAGGAACTAACCCAGTCTTAACGTTTACATGTAACGAACAGAAACTAGTTCGCGTATCGGATAAACGTGGCGATAATATTTAAAGCAACGATGACATTAAATTAAAATGACCCTCCTATATAAAAAATTATATCCATAAGAATTCACAATTTGCCTCGCTCAGAAGTAACGGCTTGTATGAAGTAAAAGCAGAATTACATCGGCCAGAATCGAAACGAAGCAGTCACCGCACCGCAGGCAGCATGAAAGCGGTAATTGCATGGGAAAAAATGTCACTTAAGAAAATTTATCTGTGCGAGTAAAGACTATGGTTCAATTTAGGATCCGGTCCAAGTTAGGTCCAACTTTCCCCTATTTTTCGAATAGACCAATTCAGGATACAAGATACTCTTTATTATATAAATCCTAGTTGGATAATTCGCCATGTAACTTGCTGTTGGCATCAAATGTCCACAAACTTCGACAACGTTGATGAATCCTTCACTTCGCTCTAAAAGCTGCGTTTCTTTTTTGCCTATTCTCGCGTCAATGTCATATTGCAATTCCTAACACTGTAGCCTGACGCTACAAATATCGCACGTTTCAAAAACAAGTATCCAAATTTCCTTGATGTCCTCTGGTCCCATATTTGTACTGTGCGAAAAAGTGCATTTCTATCGTAAAGGAGCAGGAATAATTTCAAATCCATTGAACGATATCGATCCGTCGCGCTGCTACGATGCTTTTCGAATGCCATAAGTTGATCGATACGAGTATTTCTACCTTCCACTGGCTTTGCAAAGGATAAGGATCATCGAACGAGAAGCGAGTGAAACGGTTGCGTAAGAAATCGAACGAAGCAGCGAACGGAGATCTGGAAGTAAAAAGCAATTCGCCGGAAACTTCACGATGCTTGGCGGTATCGATTGCCGGAAGTTAATATTAATGAAAAAAAAAAACAAAAATAACGACTTTTTAGATACCTATAGCGGATTGTAGATGTCGCATAATATATATTTTTGTACGTTCGCAATGTGCGTATTTAAGGCAATCGCGTCGAATATCGTTGAAGACAGAGGCAATCACGAGAGGGCAGAGAGAAAGAGAGAGAGAGAGAGAGAGAGAAAAAGTTTTCTTTCGTGACAACAAGAAGAAAAGACCGCCACATTCGTGATTCTTGGCGATTGAATCGCGTCATCGGTAGCTTTGTTCCGACGCCTCGTGAACGTTGTGGTTGGGATCGTTCGGGACAGTCCTGACGACGATTCGGGAAGAATCACGAATACGTCGGGGTTGGTCGTCGGGAAAGTTAAAAATCTAAAAATCTATCGAGAAAACGCTACCGCGGTGATTCTAATTGATCGCTTGAACTGGAAGAGAGGAGGAGAAACAGAGAAGCGGCAGCAGTGCAAAAAGATCCACTTCGACGAACGACGATTAATTTTCAAACGGTAGTAGCGGCGCGCGGCGACTCTGTACGTAATCAAGGCAAAAAACGAAAAAAGAAAAAAAAGAAAAGAAACAATGAAAGCAAAAAGTTATACTCTCCCCGGGCCCAAGTAACGTTACTTTGTGAGAGAAAAACGAAAAGATGAGAGACGACTAAAGTGAGATGATGTGAAAGTGACATGCAAAACTTGTCTACGAGTGTAAGAGAGAAAGAGAGAAAGAGAGAAAGAGAGAGAGAGAGAGAGAGATAGAAGAACGAAAGAGACGAAAGAAGCGTATGTATGCACGCGTGAATGACGGAAAACGAGAAACAACATCGGGTGAGCCAGATTGTACGATTGGAGAGAGAGAGAGGCACTATTTTTAACTTGAAAAAAAAAAAGTAATTACTCCAAATATTGTTGCATGCTTAGTTATCGTATTATAGTCGGGAACGACGTTTTAACGCTAATGAGGTATAACTGAATTGTAAGAAACGACAAACTGGAAATCGGTCGGACAGCAGCGACGAGAACCTCCGTGTCGCGGCACGATCGATTTTTTTCTTAGACCGTAAGCGGTATACACGTATTAATTACTATTGTACACGTACGTCATTACGATTATTATTATTACTATTATTATTATTATTACCATCGTCATCGTTATCATTGTTATCGTCATTACCATTACGCTACCATCGTCATGGTCATTAATTAATCGCGTGATTACAATTACCATAACGGTATGCAGATACACGCAGTGTACCTATGGACGATCGACGATCGACGAGCAACATTCTGAGATCGATCGAAGAACTTTCGGAAAGAAGAACGGTGTTCGAGATACGGTGCCACGAGACACCTCTGACGTTCATTATTCCATTAAATCTTCGACTATTTATTCGATGTTCTGCTCGGAGAAAGATTTCATCGTTTTCGACTTTAAAGCATAGCACGTAACGTTTTGTTCCGATCGAATCGAGATTCTTCGGTCGAGATTTCAAGGATTATCGAAACGTGGGGTACCCAGCTACGGTGTGATCGTCAGGCTCCAAGACCTGCGGATCATCCGTCGCGATCGGTTAGCAGGCGATTGCCAAATTGCCACATTGGCGACGATGTCTCAAACTTTCAAG